TCATCCTGGGGTTGAATAATGGCAGCCTCCACAGTTTCTGAGATTCAAGGTATAACTTGTCTGACACTAATTACCTTGTGTTCTCTCCAGTCCTGTAATCAAACAAAGGGAGTATATGTCCTGGTTTATGAGAATGGGAGTTACACAGGAAACTACACATGTTTCTTGTCAATGTTATTTTTAACAAGTTAAAAAAAGTTATTTTTAACAAGTTAAAAAAATTTTTCTACCACAAGGAGAAGGCTCTGTTTGGATGTGGCATCCACAGATGAGCAGGAAGTGGCCATGCTGCAGAACTGTACAGTGCCTGCCGGAGAGTGTGGCACCCACCTGCTCTGGTGGCCCCAGGAGAGACCAGATGAGGCCCCAGGTGAGGAATCTCCCAGGAGTAATGCTGGTCCCTTGAAAACTGATGCTTGACCTCTGGATACAAGCCCATATAGAGCTCTGCTGGAAGAAGTGAGAAGTTTCTCGCCTTGTAAGACAGGGAATTAGAAGCAGAGAGGACCACAGGAGAAAAGGTACCTGGCTGGAATGTTGGACATCTGGAAAGCAGGATACGCACTGCATGGTGGTCATGGCTGGCGTGGCTGGAGATGTGGCCAGTGGACCCACATAGCTGAACACCACAAACACTGCCAAGAAATCAGGCTTTCTCCTGTATGCAAAGACTGCTCTGTAGGCTGTGCAAGCAGACCATCTGGAGGATGGAGCTGAGTCAGAACTCCAGTTCAGGCAGGGGAAGAGAAAGTAGAGCACCGGGAGCATGGTGATGAAAGGGAGGGCTCAGATGCGTACAGTGTGGTGGGAGTCTGAGAAAGGTCTTGGACTTAAGGACAGCTGGGGCAGCTGGGAGAGAAGGGAGGAAGCACAAGGCCGGAAGCCCACGGCGGATCTGAGTGGCCCCAAGAAAGCTTGCTCTGCACAGAGATGCTCCTGGGAGCAGGGTGACAGAGAAGACACCTTGCCTTCGGGGCTTCTCTATCAAGTTGCATCCATTCTGTTTCAGGGACTCATAAAATCCAGAAATGGGGCTGTGGATTTAGCTCAGCAGCACAAGTGCTGCTGGCGAGTACAAGGTCATGAGTTCGATCTCTGGCACACACACACACAAAAATGACACCAGGAAGCAAGGCATTCACATTACTCTTCCCTGTGGACCTGGATTGTCATCATTTCACAGTGCTTTCTGTTCAGTTCTCAATGCTTCGGGAAGATGGATAACATTATCTCTGTTTACCGACGAGGAGATTCAGGTTCAGAGCACTGTAGTGGCTTTCTGGGAATTGCTCGGCGTTTCTGAGAGAGAGCTGTTAAACCTGGTCATTCCGCATGTTACACTGCACTGCACCACTCAGCCTCTGAGGCACACTGAGGTGTAATTATGTCACCTCTGGGACAGAAGAAGCAATTAAAATAGAGCTTGTTTTTGTTTAAAGTAAAGAAATGTAGAATTAGATTTTTAAAAATGAGTCAGGGTGAACACAGTTGGGGTGGGTCTAGTATTCTGCATTCATCCTTATCCCAAGGAATTTCTTTTCGACCCAGAGAGAAAAATTGACTTTACTTGCCCTTTAACTAAAGCCCTGAGCAGGAAACCCCTGCCCTGAGCAGCAGCATCGCGAACTCACAAGAGTAGACAAGTCCAGCCTTTTCCAAGCTGGTTTTTCTTCCTGAGCAAAGATGACACTGTTGCCCATCTGAACACCACCAGGGGGAAATCTGTAGTCTTTTTTTCCTACCTGATGCAGGTTCTACCCATTCAGTCACAAACTTAGGGCTCCCTTCCCCTGGCACACATGTTGTGCCGCCCTGGCTACAGTAGGTGCAGACTGGCTGAGGTAGTTTCTCTTATTGCCAAGGTGAGCAGCTGTCTAGGAATTTACCCTTCATCCTTCATCCAGGGCTTACTGGCTCGTGTTTCACCCACTGCTGCCAGAAGGGGTGAAAAGAAACAAGGGCCACTTGTGATCAGTGGTCACATCATTAATCACTCAGGGCCATTGAGTGAACCCTTGGAAGGCCTGCATGTCTGTGAAAAGATCTTATAAATTAAAAAATCATATTCTGTACATGTTAGTGAGTGGGATCAAGACATTATTTACTATTCTGTACTTGAAAAAACAGTGAACTGTAGAAATTTTCACAATATGATTGCATTCTCTATTCTATTAGTTACTCATTCAACAAAAAAAAAATTTTTTTTTGGTGGGGATGGTGGTGGGCATACTGGGGATTGAAGGTAGACCTTTGCACTGAGCTTTAGCCGTGGCTCTTTTTTATTTTTTACAGTCTCACTAAGTTATTAACTTGCCCAGGCTGGGCTTGAACTTGGCACCTTCCAGCTTCAGCTCCAGAGTAGTTGTATTATAGCTGTACCCAGTTTCAACCAACACGTACTGCCTTTCCATAAAATATCAGTTTTCTTCCAAGATTGAACACTTACTTGACTACATCAAGCTTTCCTGCACTTAGTTAGCACTTGCTCAGAAAAGATATAAGTATTCCTTCCTCTTGTTCCAGTTAGAGCCCCAACACCTAGACTAGTGCTTGGCATTCAAAAACAGTTGTTGAATGCTAAGTGAATTCTAGTATTGGGGTTAAGGTCTCAAGTCAGCATGTCAGACAAATTGGGATAGAGTCAAATGACCGTTCTGAATCCCTTAAAACCCTACACAATTCCAGGGGTGATCAAAATATGCAGTGAATGTTTAATTTTTTAAATATATTACAAAAAATTTAAAAATTAAAATGCATTACAGTAAAAGATACAATACCATTAACCCTCTCGAAACACTCCCCCTTACATCCCAACACACTTAGCCCATTGTTCTTGGCACTGTCTGAGGCAGTTCTGGAAGTCCTCTTTCATCAGTGTCTTTTTAGGGTGTGATAAAAATATGGTTAATGCGGTTGCCAGGTGCCATCCAATGAAAGGCAGGCTCATGGAAACAGACAGGTCTCCTCGTGCACTTTATTTACCAGATCTGACACCTTATGACTTCTGGCTCTTGCCCAACGTCAAAACAACCTGAAAGGTAGACATTTTGAAACAATTTGGAAGCAGCCACAACAGCACAACTAAAGACTCACAAAATGGAACTTTCAGAACTGCTTCAGAAAGGGGCAAAAATGAAGGGATAAGTTCAAAGCAAGGTGGGAAATGTTTGGAGGGAGATTAATAAGAATGTAGTGTCAGAAAAAGACAATGTGCTGTATTTTACTATAATAAACTCTCTTTTTTTTGGAAGTGAATATATTTTATTAACTGACCAAATCATAAAAACACCATAGTAGACACCTTAGTTCATCCTTCTAACAAGCCTGTTGATTTGGTCTTCCTATTTCCACCATGGTCACCTTCCACAAAACGGGTGGTCTTCTTCTTCACCCCACCTCATGGAGACGATAATTTGAAGGGCCACACCAAGTTGTTTGCCCCTTTGAAGTGTTTTCTAACAGTATAGATCTTATGAGTCAGATCCTCCATGCAGATGATGCTCTATTTGCCAAAAGATCAAGCAATCAGTGAGTTATCTGTCAAGGCAGTTCGCTTCTTATTGATTTTGCCATAGCCACGCGTGTGTATTAGTTTATTTACTGACTTCAGGTTTGGGTACCCCCATGCAATGTATGGTTCCACGGTTTTCAGCATGTTGATTGAAGCCTTGCGGAGCTTAAAGAAGGTACTACTAAAGATTTGGCGAAGATAAAGAAGCTGCAACACCGTGTGGACCTTTGGGCTCACGTGGTTGATACCCCGATCCAGATGACAAATGCCAATTTGGGTTCTGCAGGTGCATAGAAGCTGCTGGCTGTTCTCGCCATCCTTGTCATTCGAATCTCCGTTCTGCTCATCTGTCTGTACTCTTTATGATACTACCTGGCCTTTTCATGGATCAGCTTCCAGCTTGCCTTTCCAAGTGTCTTCTGGGCAAACTTCTTTCTCAGGAGCTTTACCTTTAGCTCTGCAAAATGTCTTTGCTTTTTCTTAAGGGTTTCTGGCACAGCAGGAACCTTTTTCTTCTCTTTGACATCCTCCATGGTTTCAGCCAGAAAAGAGCTGTAATAAATTTTTTTTTCTTTTGTTTTTTTCCTTTTTATCGGTACTGGGGATCGAACTCACACTGCCTGCTTGCAAGGCAGGCGCTTATGCTACTGAGCTAAATCTCCAGCCTCTAACATTCACTATATTTTTAGAACATAATTTGTGTAATCTATAGATATATTATCTACCACTATCTCTTCCCAAACTTGGTAGCAGATCCCCCAGATGCTCTAGCAAGCTATGAATAAAGGGAGGCATATAAACTGTGAGCGTCTGAAGGCCCCCAGGAAGCCAGTTGGCTTTGGGCCTTTTCCATCCAACACTGACTCAGTGGGTAAATCTGTACTATGTTCACTGCTGTTTTTCTTTGTCGGTCTCTTTCCTTCCTTTACCAAACTCCCAAGCTTGAAATAGTGTAAACTAAATACATACACGATGCCAGTCCATAGCACTGACAATAACCTTTTAAAAAGCTCCGTAGACTGACGAGGTGAAGCAGACCCAGGACTTCCAACCTCAGTCACGAATCACAAAGGAAGGGTGATCCTTTCCCCTCCGTATTTTTTCCTCTAGAGTTAACAAAACAGGACAGTTTTCCAGAGTCCTTTTAAACGCTAAATCTATTTAAAAGAGCCAAAGGGCTATCATGTCCCCAGATCAATGACAACTCATTCATCTTCCACCAAGGAGTTTCTAGGGGCATCAGTTTTTAGATTCAAGGTGTCTAAATCTGAGGTGGAGTTTCCTTTTATGTAAGGCAGCTTGAGACTTCCTGTTGTATCACACCAGGACTTTAAAGTGCACATATACAGTGTTCTCTGGACTGTATCACAAACTAACTCTACTGATGTAAGTCCAAAAATGCAAAGTTTTAAAAATCAGTTTATCTACCCAGTAATAAACAAAAAAACTATTGCCTACAAATAACAATACATTCTGATTCTTCTTGTAGAAACCAAGAATAAAAAGTGTTTGATCGAAGCTGGTCCTTGGTTAGTGAAGCTGCATTTGGCAGATAACGGCATAGATGGCCATGGAGAAGAAGGAAGTTTGTTGGAATTCACTCAAATGCTGACACGGTAAGTAGCAAATGAAGTTTTATTTGTTCTTTTTCCAAAACTAAGTGCTTGAATTAAATCATGGGAGTGTGTGCCCTCTTCTGCAATGCATGCACTGAATCATGGGGACAGTGATTTCACCTTTCAGGGGTTTCTAGGGAGGCTCTTTGGCTCTGGGATGAAAACACTGAGCCCCCTTCTTCCTGGAATCCAGCATAGCAAACCTTTGATATGATCCCATAGCAGGGTCTCATTGACCTCACTAGACGAAGTTGGACTAGGACAGCAGGGCTGACCTATAGGGTTTTCTCCCTTACAGTCCAGATTTCATTAAAATGTGAGTGGTGTGAGAAAGAGCAGCCTCCTCAGGCAGATGCTTCTGAAAAACAGAATGTTTCCTAGCCCTGTTTGTCTGACAGCCTTAGGCACCTCCCTGTCCAGCCCTACAGAGCCCGCATACTCAGTGGGCCAAGCCAGTTTGCAGTCACATTAGGAAAACTTGCTGGGTACAGAGGGCTCCAGCTGGCCCTGTGTTAATGGTGACACCTCAGGGCGACCGTGGGCAGAGACGTACAGCCACAACATGAGGCCTGAGGCTTGATGGATGTCAGCTGATGGTTTCAGAGGAAAAGATTCCTTCCCTAATGCACTTTACTTCCTTACTCGGGAAGGATGGGAAGATTTTATACCTGGATAGTAATGTAATAACTACATTAGAAAAACCTTATTTTATTACCTTTTGAATATATTACTCAATTTAGTACATTACTTATGTATTATCCTTAGGACATTATCAGAGTTTTGTTAACTGTTTTACATCAATGCTCATGAAGCTTATTTGGCCTATTCTTTTCTTGTAACCTCTTTGGTGGGGATCGGAGTGATCTGACCTTACAGAATGCATTAGGAAATGTTCCCTTATATTCTATTTTACGAAATTATTTAGTAGGTTAATCAGTGCAGACATTTGAACCGAGAGCTTTCTCTATGAGATTTTTAACTACAAATCCATTTTTCAGAACCAGGTGTGGCGGTAGAGGCCTATAATCTCCGCATTTGGGAGGCTGAGGCAGGAAGAGTGCTATGAGTTTAAGGCCAGCCTGAACTATATAGCAAGACCCTGTCTCAAAAAAGAAAAAACAAAACAAATCCATTTTTCAAATAAGTATAGGGTTATTCTGGTTATTTTTCCCCCTGTGTAAAGCTTTGAAAGTTTGTGTCTGTTGAGGAATTTGTTCGTGTCACTTAAGTTCTCAGATCCATTGGCATAGTTATTCATAATATTTCCCTATGATGATTTTAATGTATGTAGGATCCACAGTGAGGTCTCTGCTTTCATTTATTGTTTTGTTTTATTTATTTATATACTTATTTACTTTTGGTTTTTTTGATACAAGGTCTCACTATGTAGCTTAGGCTGACTTTGAACTCACTGTATAGGCCAAGCTAGCCTCAAACTCATGGCAATCCTCCCTGCTTTCTCCCAAATGTTAGGACTATAAGTGTTCTCAACCACATCCAGCTCCTCTTTTACTGACATTGGTATTTGTATTTTCTCTTTTTTCTGATCTACCTGATTAGAAATTTACCCACCACCACCACACTCCTTTCATACTGGGAGTTAAAGCCTTCATATTTAAGCTACATTCTCAACCCTTTTTTAAAAAAACAATGTCTCATTAAGACACTAAATTGCCCAAATCGGGGCTCCAATTTGAAATCCTCCTGCCTCAGCTAAACTTGGGGCTGGGGATTTAGCTCAGCGGCATAAGCACCTGCCTTGCAAGCAGGCAGTTGTGAGTTCAGTCCCTTTGTACCGATACAAAGGAAAAAGACCAAAAAAAAAAAAGCTAAACTTAACTGATTTAAATAAAAATCATCTTTTGAGACTACACCCATCTTAATTTTATGAAAATACATGTTTGCTTATAGTGTTGTTAGGTGAGAAAGGTTTTTTATTTGACATACTAAAAATCAGTTCCCATCAGTCCTCCAAATTTTTGGACATTCTGCTGATGTGTAAAGTGTAAATGACTGAGAAGTCCTGCTCAATATCACGCCGCATCTTTTGCATAAATGAATGGAGCATTTAAGACAAAATCTGTATCTTACCGACTTCCCTAAGGGAAGGAGAATAAACCAGGAAAAGCTGAGTGCAGGATATCTCTAGTCTCAAACTGGATCAGGCCCATGGGGAAGGGCAGGGAGACCGGGAAGGCCCTAAAAAAGGAATCATTCCCCAAAATGACTGGGTTGGGTTTCTTTGAGTAACTATGTTTGGAGCAGTGCCTTTTTGTTTTGCCATTTTCTTTGGACAGCCTGATCAAACACTCTGCCCACGTCCAGGAAATTGACCTCGGGAACAACACCCTGGGAGAAAAGGCTGCTGCCGATGTCCTCAGGGCCCTGAGAGCCAGGAAGACGGGTAGAGTGCCTGCGGGTCCTGTGTTTCCCTCCTGAGCCCCGTACTATGCTCAATTTGCTGTATTTGTGTGTTTGTGTCAGGAATCGAACTTATGCTTGCCAGGCAGGCCCTGTGCCACTGAGCTACATCCTTGGCCTTACTTACTTTTTTAAAAATGTAAATAACTGAACTACGAACTATGCGATGACCAGGGGCACTGTCACAGTCTGGCCACCATTGTGTCATTATGCTCAGGGATTTACACATGGTTCAAGAACTCGTATGATGCCACAAGGCAGCATTTGAACTCACTAATGACTTTTTTAAGAGCTAGAGACTCGCTGTGTTGTCAGTCTCCTGCCTCATCTTCCCCAGCAGCTGGGACTATTCTATTGCTTTTTATTTTCTTTTTTATTTATTTATTTTTGGTACTGGGATTGAACTCACCACCTTGCACTTGCCAGGCAGTAGTGCTTATATCGCTGAGCTAAGTCTCAGGCCCTATTGCATTTTATTTTTTGTTTACTTTCATCCTTGCTTATTCTCTAAAAAATTCTTCTTCTTTATCTATTCTTATCCCAGCCCAACTTTCACCAGTTTCTCCAGCTATGAATCAGAAAACTGAAGGAGCGGCCCTTATAAAATTACAGTGTGTTTTCTGTATCATCAAAGAATGGTTATATTGTGATTGGCATGAAGCAGCCTTAAGGGACTATTACGACCCTGCATCCCTCTGAAAATGAGACAATCACTTACAGAATAGGGTTGATTAATGTGGGCCACCCCTGCCCTCTCTTTCCCAAGTATGCATGACCAGCATGAATGGTGGTTGATCTTACTGTTTAAAAGGGAGCAGTGAAGAAATGTCATTTAAATGCAACTCAGTAAACATCATAAACAGTTTGGAAAATGAAATTCAATGCTAAAAAAGTTGTGGGAAGTTGGTGCATTCTGTGGCAAGTCAGGTGAAGGGAATTAAGTAGTATAATGGTCTCAGAGGCTGGCACAAGTAAAGATTACAGTTGCTTTTTATGCCAGCAGTGTTTTAGAGAGAAGAATTACAATGATATTATTGTCTACTGCGTTGCCCCACCCCACCCCCGTGCCTCTCACCTCCAGTGCTAAGGACTGAACCCAGGGTCTCTTGCATGCTAGGCAAGCACTCTACCCTGTGTTGTATCCCCAGGCCTTTTTCTTTTGAGACAAGGTCTCATTAAACTGCCCAGGCTGGTCTTGAACCTGAGAGCCTCCTGCTGAGTTCCCAAATAGGTGGGATTACAGGTATGTGCTACCATGGAGAGTTTAGATTGCCACTTTCTAAACTGAAACTTACATTTTTAATGGCTGATCAAATGACTCCAAGATTTCAATTATCCTCCTATTTTAAAAAACAGAACATCTACTTCCTATTCCACTAGAGTTGAATTGAAATTAAACAGAATTATTCTGTTCAAATTTAACTCTAATGTAAATTCAATAAACAGCAGGCAAGTTAATGATTTCATTTTGTTTTCCACAGCACCGTAATAGCTTTTTCATTACATACGGTGGCAGACGACATCACAAGGCTGCAGACAATCTTTTGATGATTACTGCAGCGAATGCTAATGGCGGGTGTAAAACCATTACACCGAGCACACATTTGAAACTGGAAATCATCCTACATGCTTTGTAAATGGTTTAATTTGCATACTTGAGAAAATGATTCTGAAATACCTGCCTGAAAATACAAATAATCATTAAAAAACAAAAAAAAAATTGATTTCATTAAACTTTCTTCTAATCTTAGCAGTTTAAATGCAGGAGATAATGCATGTATCTCTTGAACTGAAATAATTATGGGATATTTCTGATGGAATGTGGCAACCAGACTGTTAGTTTAGGCACAAAGGAAGATGCCTCAGAATAGGGTTAGCTGGTTGGATTCCACAGGAAAAATCGCTTGCCATTTACCCTTAACAGCATCATTTTAAACATTAAAAGCAATTAGTAATACCACTGATTAAACAACTAATGTTTGTCTGTTGAGTATTTCTGTGCCCTCATCATTTGCAAGTTAACAAGCTAATTCAGAATTGTAATCTTCTGTGAAATCCAAATTAACCTCAGGTCACTTTTTTGCCTACCAAGAAGTTCTATTGTCTTGTTTGGCTTTTTGTTTGTTTCTTTGTTTGTTTGAGGCAGGGTCACTATACAGTTCAGGCTAGCCTTGAGTAACCCAGACTGTCCTCAAAATCCCAGAGATCCTCCTCCTCAGCCCCCCAAGTGCTGGTGTTACAAACGTGCACAACCACGCCCTGCACCAAGGAGTTCTTAATGTCCCACCTTTGATGAAGGAAAACACAAAACAGGCTCAGAAGTCCAATGGGGTTGTGAAATGTGTTAACTATTTGATTATTTCCTTGTTTCTCTCAGGTAGATTACCAACCTTAAAAATTACAGTCACTCCCCGGATCTCTTCAGATACGTTTAGATCTATTTTGAAAAATAGCAAGAAATCTAATACTACCTACAGAAAGAAGAAAAAGGTACGTTCTAGGATGTCTGTGTTGGTGAGTAGTATCCACCAGGGGGCGCTGTACAGCGCCTGGACATTCCCTGGGGTAGGTGGCGCCATCGGCTGCAGGTTTCACACTTAAATAGAAAAATTCAGGGGCCGGGATGTAACTCAGCGGCACGGCACAAGCCTGGCAAGCCGAGGTCATGAGTTCAATTCCAGGTACAAAAAAAAAAAAATTTTGGGGATCTAGGTCACACTACCCAATCATTGCTGCATTCATATGCGCGCTGATTCCATCCTGACAAGTAGTAAGAGAACAAATAGCCGTCCCTCAAAGACCAGTACAAGCCTAGCCTCGCCTTTCAGTCCTCTCCCTCCCTCCAGGAAAGGAGAGGAGTCAGGATCCTCTCCTGCATCCTAGCCTGTTGTGGATCTGAGGTTTAGTTAAACTCTTTATGAAGCTTGTGCAACCTCTTGGGAGGCAATGATTTACCTGTGTTCGTGTCACACTTTGTAAAGTTGAATTTATTTCCTTTTTTTAATTTATAATTTCCTGTTCCTTATTTCACAGGGCAAAAACTGAATACAGATGCACATTTCCCTGTGGAGGCCACTTACTCCCATGGCTAACCAGACATGTTTAGAAAGACTTCGCTTGTCCTGCAGGAATGCTTTTCATTACAACCAAACCCTTTCTTTTCTTTTTTTCGAGACAGGGTCTTGCTATGTAGTCAGACTGGCCTGGAACTCACTTTGTAGCCCAGGCTGGCCTGAAACTCACAGTGATTCTCCTGCCTCAACCTCTCCAGAGCTGGAATTTATAGGTATGCACTACCACACCCAGCAGCCAAACCCTTTTTAAACTCTGAAATTTGAGAAGCCTATTTTATGAAAGTTCAAAGTACTGTTAATCCAGTGATACTTGTCGTTCTCAAAATATGTAAAAGTCAGTTTTCGTAAGTTGTGCATGTGAAATACATGATTTGAAACAAGTCATATTCTTTAGCTAACACTCTTCCTTCATACATATGCCTTTTCATTGTGAACAATAGAGGTGCCTGGAAACCAAACTCTTCCTCCGAAGAGAAAACTTGTAATCACTCAGTCCCACCATGAACAAGACCGTCGTCCCATAGGAAATAGAAGCAGTGCTTGTGGATAGGTGAAAGAATCATAAACTGAGTCAGTTGAGCACACGTGGGGAATTAGATGCACCACAGCTCACATGGTAGCTTTGAGTGACCTGCCACATGCCAAGCATTTCAGGACAATATATTGTTCACAATCCTCATTCAAAAGTAAACATCAGGGGCTGGGGATTTAGCTCAGCGGCATAAGCACCTGCCTTGCAAGCAGGCAGTCGTGAGTTCGATCCCTGGTACTGATAAAAAACGAAAAAAAGACAAAAAAAAAAAAAGTAAACATCAGTGGCTGCTATTACTGTTAGTATTAGGAATGTCACTATCTTTCCATATAAGAAAAAGAAAACAAAAGACTTTAAACCTCTTTATTTTGATACAAAGAAGGCACAAACAAAATTCTACCACAGAACTAACCTTTGCTTCAGTTATCGCCTATGAGATAGGTCAGTCTTCACCTATGAGAACAGCAGGTTCCACATACAAGCATCGCCTACCCTGAAGGCACATGTGTTTCATTTTCTTGTCTTCTTTGGGAGGACACGCTTGACATCTTGCTGGTCTTCCTGTTTTCTTCAGAGGGGCTTGTAATGTTCCACCTGTCTCTTCACTGATCTGCCCCAGAGTGTTTTAAAGGAGTTCTTTGGGCAGATACATATTCTTCTTCTGGTGTAATTAAGCATTTATCAGTTCCAGTCCCGGTCCTCTGTAATATTTTGTGCTTGGTATTTTCATTGTAACTATGAAACTATGTCTCACATGTTTAGAATAAAACACAAGTCATTGGCCAATAGTTTGTGTTTCAAGTAACATCATAGTTGCTGTATAACTTGCCAATGACATCTGCCTTGCCTTTTGTTTTATTTTAAATGTGACTGTAACTGGTTTTTGTTTCTTTGTTTTGAGATAGGGTCTTGTTGTGTAGTCCAGGCTACCCTTGAACTCACTATATAGCACAGACTGACCTTGAATTTATAGAATCCTCCTACCTCAGTCTCCTGAGTGCTGGGATCACAGGTGTGTGCCACCACATCCTGGTTCACCATCAATCTTATGATCATGGTGTAATATTGACAGTATCAATAGTACTTTTCTTCAACATAGAGGCAGCCAATTTTATGTCTTCCTAATATCCAAAGATTGTACTATACATTTCTCTATTACAATGTTGCAACATTTTTTTCAAGACTCTCAGCTTTGTCCTTGGGAATAGTTCCTGTGCTGGTCAACTGGTATTCTTTTAGCCAATGTAACATCAGTGAGTAACTAATAAACCAATTGATGAATGTGACATTTGGGTTATTTTTTGAAATATATGCAACAAGTCTGTTCACAGAGTTAAAGGGTTTATTACTGCACAAGTAAAGGCCAAGGTGTAAAGTGCCTTTGGATCTACCAGGGTATTGGGAACCCTGGCCAAAAGTCCCGATTGCCAGAATGCTGTGAGAAAAACAAGAAAACAGAGACAAGTACAATATTCCAACAATGGCTGAGAAGTCAGTGTCCCTGGATCCGACCTCTCCACGCCCCCAGCAGCCAGTTTATTAGCTGTATACAGCGAAGGTGGGGCTAGTAAACGATTATAATTCATCAAAACACTCAGACTCCAGAGGCCATAGATGATCTTAGAAGGATCTTGACCAGGCATATAATCCTGTGATAACTCAAGAAGGTGTAGATGGTCCCATGCTTAGAAGAGTCAATGGGAAATCCCAGATGATTGGTACCAACAGTCCCAATCCTTCCTTTCATTGCACAGGGAAATATGCAAGACCAATGACTGTGAATTTGTGGTCCCCAACAACAGGGCACATACTTCTATGCCATGTTTGGAAGGTGTATTTGGTGTCAACACCATGAAATGATGTAGGACGCTCGTCATTGTCATGTATTCAGGCAGTGTATCAGTTGCTTGACGCTTCAAAACAAAGCTTTCAGAAAATGAGCAAATAGCAGCCAAACTGTCAAACTGTTTTCTTTCTTGGTGGGTCTTTTTGTTGTCCAAACATAGGTAATTTCAAAGAACACTGAATCTCTTGTCACTTTTGTTCTGAAAATCTCAATAGCACATCTGTCGTTTCTCCATAAATCCTTTAGATTCGTAAATCCTTTATCATTTAGAATGATAAAGTCCTGCTCTGAAGGCCTTTAGTTCAGATAGTGAGGTGTCATGATAAGTATATTTTTGAGTATTAGTAGTGATGCATATAGAATTTTTCTTATATTTCATTATTAGTGTATTACAAAACATCCTGTAGTGTATCATCTGTTACAAACAGTTTCCAACATTGAATCACACTGTTGGCATTCCATCCAATAGGGTTAACCTCTGGCAAGAACCTAATAGCATTTTCTGACCTAGTTCTAAGATTGGACCACTCAGCTATACATAACCATTTTGTAGCATTTTGACTGGTAAAATATTTATTTACATTACTGTTTTCTTCCTCATCTGAATCACTATGCACTTTTCTGTCATATCTGTCATATCTTGCTGTCTTCATTGGCTTACATGATCCAAGTCATCATCAGTAGCCATGTCAGTTGATGACTGTCTTAGTTACTTTTTACTCATTGCTAAGACAAAATACCTGAAGCCCAAAGTTGGGAAAGGAAAGGTTTATTTCGTACCGTTTTTGGAGGTTTCAGTCCATACTCAGTTGGCTCCAAGGCAGGTGGGCATGGCTGGGCTGAAGTTCGTGACTCATGGCGGCTGCAAACAGCAAGGAGGAAACCAACTGCCAAAAAGAGAGCGAGACACACCTTCTTCCCGCCATTACATTACATCCTGGCTCCACCCCTAGGCGGGTATAGCACTGGCACCCGCAATTCAAGCACTAGACAATGAACCAATCACAAATGCACAATGCAAATGCATGAGGCCTGGAGACCACCAACATAAACCATGACAATGACTTACTGTCAACCTCCTCCCAAAATTGTAAAAGCAGATTTTCATGTGACATTGTACTGAATTGGGTTAATTCTACAAGAAAAATCAAAACATAACAAAAATTATAAATACACAAAAATATAACAGCATATAATGTGGGTAAAATGCATTTATACTTTGACATGTGTATACAACTTACTGTTCATCAAATCAAGTGGGCAAACACAAAAATTGCTTCCTGTACACCCCTACTGCAACTACTGAAAAGCACAACTAGCTACGGTTATGTTAGATATGTTCATTAGGAAAGTATGTTGTGGGCATCTGTGACCCAGTACAAGGAACCAAGGTTAACAAGTGCTGGAAAGTTCATGAAGACTGCTGTGGAAGTGGGCATGAGGCCTAAGAAAGTTATCTCCACCCTCGTGGATCTTAAGACCCAGCTAAGAAGACAAGATCCTCACCCATTAACATAATACTGCACTAGAAACATTGACATAGTTGTCACGAGCTAGGATAAGGAAGGCAGTTTAACAAATCTGAGAGCAGGTTAACAAATCTACCAGAACTGGACTGCAATGCCAGGGGTGACACTTGAAAGTAGGTTGGGACAGTGCTGTGGCAGGACTTCAATAACTAAATGGGACATTGAGATTTTGTTCTGATGACAATGTGGAGCCATGGAACACCTTGCACAGGAGAGTGCCAGGGGAAAGGGACTGTCAATAGATTAATCAGGCTCCTTAGAATGAGTCTAACTGAGTTGGTAGGGAGAGGCAGGAAAGAAGCCAGGACACAGTAATTCATGTCAGGAGAATGAAGCTCAAATTCACAAAGGGAATGGAAAGGCATGGGATTCTACAGATTTCTAAGGAAGAATGAACAGATGACTGCACCTAAAGTGTGAGGAAGGGAGAAAAGTCAAAGATGCCTGTGGTTCAGACCAGGGTAATTACACCCAGGAGAGAATTATACCACCACCAGAAAAAGGGCACTCTTACCCTGTGCACACCTGGAATCCAGCACTTGGGAGGTGAGGCAAGATTACCATGAGTTCGAGGCTAACCTGGGCTACATATGAGTTCAAGGCCAACCTAAACTGTCTCAAAAAAGGGAGTGGGAGGAACTCTTGAAAGGAAACTACAGTTTGCAAGAAAGGTAATGATCTTTTCTTCAAGTGTGAAGCAACAGTAAGCCACTGAGATGACCTCCTGATCCCAAAACTCCACAGAACTCAGTAAAGAGATACAAGCACACACAGAGCACCATTGCACCCACACCTAGGGCTCACAAAGATTCAGTGTGGAGCAATGTTAGAGAAATTGATCAAAACCAATTTTGAAAATCTCAACTTTCTTAGGAAAGTCACCACGTTTCTGAAGTAAATATCAGGAGATTTAGACCTGGGCTTTCCTGGGTTATTTTCACTTGTTCTGTGCATTTTTTAAATTCACATCTAAAATTGATCTGCATCACACATTTGACAATTGATGTCTTACACTGAATGAAATATGGTTTGGAAGACTTAAGGAATTCTCCAAAAAGACTGATTGCTTTGGCTGAATGTATGCTTTCAATGGTGTGTGTGTGTGTGTGTGTGTGTGTGTCTGTCTGTCTGTCTGTCTGTCTGTCTGTCTGCCTGTCTATGTACTTATGTGTGGCTGCGTGTGCATGTGTGAATGTTGGAGTTGGGGGCCAGTTGAGGGATTTCTAGCCACAATATCTTCATCTAAGGCAAAGGGTGAGGCAAACAAATTGTTGGGCTTCATCAGACCAAGGAACCACAAGCAGATGCCCAGAGACTTATGGTAGTAGACATAATTATTTTCACACAAGAAGTGAGATGATTCCCAGGTCTTGTCTGACAAATGTGTAGAGAGTGGGCTTGTTTAGAAGGGGCCATGTACATGTAGGGCTGACTTTTCTCTCTGACTGCTAGGAACAGTTTTCTTACTTTCTTAGGTTTTGTCTTTGGTTTGGTTTGGTTTGTGTTTTAGAGACAGGGTCTTGCTATATGTTCTGGGCTGGCCTTGAACTCACTATGTAGCCCAGGCTGGCCTTGAATCTGCAGCAACCCTCGTGCCTCAGCCTTCTGAATGGCAACTCCATAAGTGTCATTAGGTTTTGGTTTTTTTTTTTTTAAACAAGATAAAGAGATCCAAAATATGCCATCATAGAATAAGGCATTTGAGAATCAACAGATATCAGAAGTTATTTGTTTCTGAATTCTTCTCTGCCTAAAATCAGTGCCTCTCAAAAGAATTCAACTGCTATAAATTTCTTTGCCCAGTATTTAAAAACCAGAAACATCGGTACCTAGATACTAAATCACCTAGTAGACACTGTCACAAAACTATTGTATCTAGTCTCCTAGATATATTGTATCTTTCTCAAAACGCGGTTCCCATAACCATCCTTTCCCCCCATCTTGTCCATATTTGTATTGTATAAAAACTCCAAATTCTAACTATTGGAGTCTACTTTTCTGAGAAGTTCAATTACTTTGGTGAATAAAAACCTGGATTTTTTCTTACTAAACTATTTTTGTCAACTTAATTCACAAGCTCCAAACATTAAATCTAAGAAGGTAGAGTAAGTTTTCCTCTCTTTCAATGGAAAAAAAGTTATTTTAATAAAGATGAATGACATGAAGGAGAAAACAAAAACCAAAGTGAAGATCAAATAAATAATGAAGCCAGGTGTGGTGATGTACACCTGTAATCCCAGCACTGGGAGGCTGAGGCAGGAAGATTTCAAATTTGAGCCCAGACTAAGAAATTCAGCCATTTAGTTAGATGCTGTCTCAAAATCAAAAAGGATCTGGGTGTGTAGCTCAGTGGAAAGGCCCTGGGTTCAATCCCTAATACCAAACAAAAACATTCAGTTGAACTGTTGCTTCTCAGGTATACTGCCAGGATGAGTAGCTAACCAGGTAAACTCAGCACCAATAATGAATTAAGACAGTTTAAGAAAGGAATACACTTTATTTGCAAGGAGAAAAAGCAGAAGACAGAAAGCTGCCTGAGCCAAGTGTGGTGGTACATGCCTGTAATCACAGCACTCAGGAGGCTGAAGCAGGAGGAGTGCCACAAGTTCAAGGCTAGCTAGCCTAGGCTACAAAGTGAGTTCAAGACCAGTCTGAACCATATAGTGAAACTCTGGCTCAAAAAAAGATCAAAAACAAAACAAAACAAAAGGCTGTCTTGGAGAGAAGGCAGAGGGTCCCAGAAAGATGGATTCCTCCTGGGCCATTGTCACGGGCTTTTTTATGTTATGGGGGGCCCTTGCCCCCTGGAACTTGTCACATCTGACTGGTTCCATGCACTGTCTTAGGTAGATGCCAGGCGTCATTGCCCATGTGCACAGTCCTTTTGTGGGGCTTGGTCTGGCTTTCTCCTGCCAGCTTGTCCTGCTCAGAGCCTTACCTTTGGAATCTGTAGGCTGCTTAGGAGGAGTCTGGATGGGCAGTTTGGAGTTTGTCACTAAGTAAGGGTGTGTGTGTGTTAGCTAGTGCAGCAGTACAGTGACCCCTGGAGTGGGAAGACATCCATATTTCTATATACTACATAAGGGTTTTCCTTTAACATGCACAACCCCTTCCTCTTTAGTCTCCTTTGCGTTTGACTGGAGTGGGGAGGAGGGCAGTTTTGGTGTCTTCCCCCACACCCCCAGTTTCCTCCTGCTCTGCCTATCAGCTCTCCCTCTTGTTCACTGCTCCCTCTAGGAAAGTTTTAACTCTTTCTAGTTAGGATTAGTTAGAAAATCTGACGCCCTAAATTCTATTCTTCCCCTGCCTACAGACCCCTACTCCGACAGCACACTGAAACAAGGTTTTTACAAGTACTTAAGTATTTTTGCTTTAAGGAAAAATACCAAATAAAAGGAACTGTGTCTGCAGTGTACCGTGTGAGGATAGGGACCACGCCGCTAAGGAAACAGGTCCTGGGTCCAGAGCCTGAGTCTGGGTTTCCTCTTCACACCCCTCACACTGCCGAGAGTGACCGGAAGGGTGGTGCTGCATGAAGAGCTGAGCAGGGCACAAGGCAAACGTGCTCGTTTTGTTGCCCTGTTCTCTAAAGCCACTAAGCTCCTGTCCTTTGGACACTTAGGACCTAAGACAAATCCTCAGGAGATGAAATAGAGGCAAATCACAGGCATGTCCTCCAATAGCCCAGGCCATGCCTGAACCCCACCACATCTGGGCCACCACACCTGCCCCTGCTCCTTCTGCTTGCTTGTTCCACCGGCTTCTGGCACATTGCTTCATTCCTGTCACTCTGCAAAAACCTTCCTGCCACACCAAGTGCCAACTCGTTGCTTCCTTACTCCCGTCCCCCAGCTCTCTCCTCCCACCTGCCTCCCCTTCTCAGGCAGCACTGCAGGGAGGAGACTCCACTCCACATTCCCTGCAGGACGCAGGACACTGCTCACTCTCAGCCACCCTTCATCTGAGCTTGCTTTTCCTCCTCATGCAGCTGGCGTCTCTTCGACTGAGCACATTTTATCTTCATCTGGGTCCAGCTTTCCTTCTTTATAAGCTGTCTAACATTTTCAGCCCTCCAAAGTCAGATGTGTAGTCGGTTCAGTGAACAGACATGCTTTCCACGGCTCCTCTGAGTTTGTTTACAGACATTTTTGTCTGGCTCATAAAGTTAGTGTGGTTAGAGCCATGTCAACCTTCACTACTATTGCTCTACTCTGGCCACAGCTGGGGGGCCACAGCAGGATCTCTTTACTCTTCTCCTGCTGGGGGCTCCTCTGTACCCCCTTCTTCAACTCCTGCACTTTAATGAGGCTTTTCTGCACTGCAGCCGTCTTCACAAATGGCCTGGTCCTTGAAAACACTCGACAGACAGCATCCATCTACATCAGGCCAAACGTGGCTGTGTCCTCACTTGTTTCTACATATTTATACATTCTTGTCATTCCTGGGCCCAAGATCAGCAGATGGTAGGAGGCTCCAAAGCCCCATCCCGACACCACTAGGTGGTGGAGGAATCAGGAGTCCCAGGGTCTCTTCGCCTCAGCTTTTTTATAAGTGGAGACATCGTCTGCTTGACTTAGGCAAATGAAAGATGATCCTGCTTTCAAACTGTCATCTTCAAAGAACAGCTGTGTGATTTTTATTGTTACTTGCTTCCGGGGCTTCACTACTCCTACATAGAAGGAGTTGGTTAAACCAGCCCCACGTGTGGTTCCCAAGTTTTGTTTGCAAAACAGTATTTAGAGCTTTACTCCATTTTCCACTGTCATTCTTTTCCGAGTATGGTGAAATTTCCCAGCAGCTACGTGTGATGTCACTGCTCTAATGATAACTTGTAATGAGTCTATTATTTTATATGAATTAAAATTTTAAATTTTAGTATTTTAAAATCTAATATTTAAAAATTTTAATTTCATAAAAAGCAATCATCTCATATATCTATGTACCTCTTACACAAACAAAAGATCATTAAAGCTCTAATAATTTTTAAGTGCAAAACAGTACTGACACCATAGTTTCAATTAGCAATCATCCCGCTTCGGATAAACCTCATGGGCTATGATACTGCCACTGCGCAAAGCTTGAGACCACAGTTCGGAGAACACTGAACCGCGTTTCTAGATCGCTAAAAAATTGCGCCTCCTGCAGCCCGGGCATGCTTTAAGACACCAGGTTAAGGTGGTGATGTAGCTTCATGCTGGTTTACATCTGGGAGGAAGTGGCAAAAAGATAAATTAACAAGGCGGCCTCTTGGGAGCCGCAAATTTGACAGAGGCCTGAAGTACAACAGCATCCCTGAACGGTCAGGAACCGCCCAGACAAAACCTCCCTAAAGGCGGGGCAGCCAGGCTCCGCCCCGAGTCGCCGGAAATCCCCCGCCGCGGGGAGAGCGCGTGGGGGGGGGTCCTTAGTTCCCGCCCCGGCGCCGGCGTTCTGTGACGTCACTAAGCCGGGCCAGCCAATTGCGAGCCCTCGGTCCGAGCCTAGTCGCAACTCGCGGCCTGCGGGCGGCGCTGTGGCCCATTGGGCAGCCCCGAAGTGTCGCTGTAGCCGCCCGCCTCCCCAGACCTAACGTCTTCGCCGCCGGCTTCGGCCGCCGCCATGGCCGACGTGGAAGACGGTGAAGAGCCGTGTGCCTTATCCTCTCACTCGGGGGGCCCTGGCTCCAAGTCGGGAGGCGACAAAATGTTCTCGCTGAAGAAATGGAACGCAGTGGCAATGTGGAGCTGGGACGTGGAGTGCGATACGTGCGCCATCTGCAGGGTCCAGGTGATGGGTAAGCGCTGCACCCTGGGCCCCGTGGGCCGCGAGGCCTCCGTGGGCCTTGTTGGGCGGCAGGGGGCGGGGAGTGGCCGGGGTCGCGGTGTCGCGCTCAGGCTGCCTGGTCAGAGACTGAGCACCCGCAGGCTGGTGTTCTAGGGAGAGAAACGCGTCCTGAGCGGAGGCGCTCGGGTATTAATGGGCGTGACCAGGAAAATAGAAGTGGGGGACTCAATGGGAGCTGGGAGGAGCCCCTTCGTTTGTGTGGCGAGCCCCACTTGTTAAAAGCAGAGTGCGGAGGGGTCGGGGTAAAGGCGGAGATTCAGCCGCGCACCCCAATGGTTCTGGTCACACGTAGACGTGATGCCCAGAGCTCGCCTTCCACGGAAAGACTTACTGAGGCCGGCAGGGAAGGGAAGTGTGCAGCCATTGTATTTCCTGATTGGCTGCTACTGCTGGCTTTTTAAAAGTTTGGATGAAAAGGTCTGGATTGATTTAAAACGGGTCGGGTAGAATTCGCTAGACTTGAAGTATGGTTCAAAAATGTTTAAGTTTCGTGCGAATTGAGGAATAGCCCTTTATCCCTAAACAAAACTTCAACTGCATCTACCCTGTTCCCCCTCTTGGGGGGGCATTTCTTACTGCCCTGCTGTCAGGTCTTTGTGGAGACAGGCTGCTTTGAAAAAATAGGATAAAGTGAAGTATTTCAGAATAGCTCAATCTCTTTGAGTTTTATTCAGTTTTACGATTTCAGACCACCTTGAAAGACTGGTCCTATTTACAAGCTCTGTATTTAGGATATTGTGAGGGCATTTTCAGTGCTGCTGTTTTTTGGGGGTATTGAAGAAAACTGACTTGGCCTGAAAAATGAGAGAATTGGAGAAAACAAAGAGATTAGTCTACATTTTTTGGAGAATGAGACTTTAAAACTACCAGAATGCCAGGCGTGGTGGTGCACGCCTGTAATGCCAGCACTGGGGAGGCTGAGGCAAGTTCGAGACCAGCCTGGCCTACAGAGTGAGTTCAAGGGCAGCCTGAACTGCAGAGTGAGACCCTGTCCCAAAAAGACCAAAAAACAAAAACAACCCCCCCCAACCCTACCAGAATCAAGAGATGCTCAACTTAACTTTTTTCCCCCATAAAGGCATGCTTCAAAGGTTTACAACAGCGGGAGTCAAATATTTGTAAGGACTTAGGGGACAAGGCCTACTTACTGTACATAAAAGGTTTTTTAAACAATCTGCTTGTATTTCAGTCATTTCACTCCCACCCCTTAAGAACAAGAGTGATAATTTGCAGTTTAGGGGCATTTTTAACTATCTAGTATTTTTTGTTTGGTTGGTTTTTGTTGGTTAGTTTTGCTTTGTCATTTTGAGACAGGGTCTTGTTATGCAGTTTTTGTTGGTCTTGAGCTCACTTTATAGCCCAGGCTAGTCTCGGTCTCAACGATCCTCCTGCTTCAGCCTCCCAAATTACTGGGATTACAGGCATGCGATACCACACCTGGCTCCTATCCAGGAGTCTTAATTTTGTTCTTTTATGGGAAAGGTGTTGCGACTTTTACCCCCCAGGCATCCCTTTAAAAAAAAAAAAAAAAAAAACTATTGGAAATTCAACCCAGGGCCTTAGCTGAACTATATCAGCTTGCACGTGTTGTTTTGTTTTAGACTAGAGTTTTGCTAAGTTCCCCGGGCTGACCTCCTGTCTCATCTTCTCCAAATACTGAGATAACACCTGTGCAACACCACAATCAGCTATAAATTTTCTTTAAAGAAAACTAAATTTTCCTAGTTGAAAAAGGAAAGGACAAGAGGAAAAGGGAGAGTAAAAATGTTTAAATGTTGAATATGAGTCTAGCTAGACATGGTGGCACATGCACAGTACTTGGAGACTAAGGCAGGAGGATTTTGTGAGTTCAAGGTCAGTCTGGCCTGTATCTCAAGTTCAAGGTTGTGCGGAACTACCTAGCAAGACTATCTCAAAAAAAAAAAACGTGTAAATATACAAACCTCCATAATGATTATATTCCTTGTATGCCACAAGCAGATAGTACTACTAATAAAAATGTCCCCTCTTGGGGGACCGTTTAAAAATGATTTCTCTACTTTTCAGTAGTAAGTAGAACTGCAGAACCTAAAATAGTGATTGAAATTTAGCAACAAATGTCACTGGGATATTTAAAGTAAGTCAAAGTATGGGCTATAAATGACTCACATTCATCATTAACTTGCTAATTATAACCCATATTCTGCTACTGCAAGATTAATCTTGAATATTTACAGCACCTATACTTTGGTTTCAGGGAAACATTCTGGAGTAGACCTTTATTTTATTTATGAGGTGTTGGTGGGACTTAGTGGTTAGGTGACAACAAAGGAAATTTGTTTTCAAACTTCCCTAGTCCTTATCTATCATCATTCTTTTTTTTTTTAATTTTTTTTTTTTTTTATCGGTACCAGGGATGGAACTCAAGACCGTGCACTTGCAAGGCAGGTGCTTACGGCACTGAGCTAAATCCCCAGCCCTCTACCATCATTCTTAAAGGTGCAGCTGTCATATTCCTTAGAAATGTGCTCTTTTAGATACTGGAAACTTCATTACAAGAATTTCTTTTTAATGTGAAACTTTAGAAATTTGTGTAGATATAGGTTAATGTTTGATGATTTAAGCTATAAGCATAATTCAGGTTTCTGGATACTACAAGAGTCCACATTAGCAACACACTCGAGACCCCTTCTCTCTGTCTGCTTCTGTCTCTGTGTCTCGATCTCTCCAATAGAAGCTTCCTTTCAATTAAAAAAAAAAATCCACTTTGTCCCATTTTCTTAATATTTGGAATTTGTCTCACATGAAGGGTTTCTGTCACCTCATTCTGATGCGAGTGACACTCCCTTAGATCCCACTGTCCTCCCTTTATTAGGAGAGGGGCAGATGGCATAGTGAACAAAAACTATGAAAAAGGGGAAAAGGTTGGTAGTACAGCCAGGTTATGAAAGCCAGAGTAATGTTTCATGATTATATGTCAACGTGGACATTTCACATAACCTTTTGGAGCCTTACTTTTCTGATGTATAAAAGAAGCAGTTAGGATCATCAGTCCTAATACTGTTAAAAATTTGGTGACTGCAGAGAACTAGAACCAGGTACAGATACTTCACTGATAAATTGTGATGCTTGTGATCCTTCTTCATTGTTTGCTTTTCTAGCTCCCCCTTTGCTACTGAACTCCTTGAAATGCATGCAGCCTTGGTCATTTTAGTGTTGGCAGAGCATAAACCTTTGCCTTTGCACGGAGTAGATGCTCAGTAGTTGTGGAACTGGAGAAAGCCTCAGGAGGCATAGTTGTTTTCCATCCACACTGCAGAGGCCAGGGTGGTGGTGTTTTTTCAAGGGTAAGAGCATGTGGAGAGGAGCAAATGCCTGAGCAGAACCCAGTGTAAAATAGAAGCAGGCTTCAACTCTGCCGTTTCTATTTTTTACAGAATTATTTTTCTTCATTTATGCTAAAAACTTTTCTGTTAATTTGAACTTCCTTTTATCCAACTTTTGACTCTTTCCAAACTAATAAACAAGCTCCTGTTTCATTAGTTCCTAAAATATTCTGTAATAATACCTCCTTCATCAAGCAAAAAGTACTACAGAATGAATTTTGAAAACTGTATGATACAGCATACAGGATCTCATCCCTAGTATTTACTTCCAAGTAATTTATTAAAATACTTCCCTATCATTGGGTAGATTCTTCAGTCTCAGACTTAACTGTAAGTGGACTGTTTCCTTAAAAAAACAACAACAACAACAAAAAAAAACTTGTTACTTATTTGCTTGTTTTATCTGTAAAGCTCTCACAGGTAAGTGTCACCCTTACTTAGTATGCAGGTAGTACATAGACAGAGGTCTAGAATTGGTCCAGATCAACAAAACTAACAAATGCTAGTGAGGTGGGATTGTACTGTAGATCTACCTGGCTCCCCAACCTTGCTTTCCCTCTATGTCTCACCAGTCTTTTTTTGGGTGACCTCGGCAGTCACCTGTTGCAAACATGCAACATAGTTTATTTTAATGGAACTCACCAGTGTCTTAGGGAACAAAGTAAGAAATTAGTTTTTATGAATTGCAATTTAATCTTTTATGTAGATTATACAGTCACATAATTAAAAATTTAAGAAGCTGTATGATAAAAACTCGTTTCCATTCTGTCCCCTCCCAGTAAACTTTTTAATGGTTTCTTGAGTGTCTTTAAGTATATTCTTTAATATAAGCAAATATCAACATGGAGGCATGGCTTATTTACAATGGTGTCTTGAAAATAAATTACCTGTAAAATTGATCCATATGAGTGAGCATGCCCAGTGAACTTATGGTAACTTATAAGACAGTGGAACATGCCATATTTCTCTTCAGTGGTTTTTTCCCCAGTGCTGCCATCAAGGCATCTTTTCATTAGAGCGTGTAAAAATAGTCGTTGACCCTTGTGAAATTGTTGCTGGTCATAAGTAAAATAAAAATGACTTGTACTTTATTCCTCTTTATTTTCGGTTGAAAAATTAATACTGTCTTAGTTACTTTTCTCGTTGCTGGGCCAAAATATTCAACACCAAAAGTTAAAGGAGGAAAGGTTTACTTGGCTCACAATTAGTAGTGGTTGCAGTCCAGGATCAGCTGGTTACAAGGCAGAGTGGCTTGGCAGACAGGTATTGCAGAGGAGAAACCCTTCTTGGTGGGCAGAAGGTAGCAAAGCAAGCAAGGGTCCACCGTGGCTCTTCATAATCCTTACATTTTATCCGGGCTACTTAGGGTGGGCAGCACTCACACGCTTAGTCCCAGTGCCCCTGATCCCAGCATTGCACCAGGAGGATCCTGCCCCACCTGGGACCACATGAGGCTTTAGGGGTACATCTAAACACAAGCCTTAAGAAGTAGTATGACTCTTTCATCTTCATCTCTGACCTTAGGGCTTTTATTTGACTTTGAAGCTTTTGAGTTTTTAAATTGCATCTGAACATCAGAATGAGTATTGCCGTCTGTTTACTTTCAGATGCCTGTCTTAGATGTCAAGCTGAAAACAAACAAGAGGATTGTGTTGGTATGTGGTAATTTCTTTCTCTGGCTTTTTCAACTGAAGGTTTTTCTCTCAGTGGGAATGTTTGAATTTGCAATTAAGATTGACTTTATCAATACACAAAAATAAACTGTAAAGCAGTGATCCATTATTAATGTAAAGTGTGTTGATTCCCAAAGGCCCTCAGTGGAATGAATCTGCAAGTTCTTTTATTGCTATAATTAAGACTTGGTTAACTATCCCAGATATGTCCGTATTAGAGATTTTAGCAATCAGAAAGTAATTAACCATCTAGTAAGAAAATTAAGCAATTTGTCAAAATATTGCTTAAAATTTTTATTTTAATAAAGCACTTTGTTTTTCTTACGTTATAGTAGTAAAAAAATTCTAAGTCACAGGCATTTTTTTTTTAAAGAATGTAGTTTGTGTGTTGAAATGTATTCTTTTTATAATCTTGGATTACAAAAAGTTGTCTTAGGGTAGTTATTTTATGTCCTGTTCTTGAGATGATCATTTTTAGATTGCTTTTTACATTGCCTATGGATTTTTCATGAGTTTTTTTCCTTTTTTTTTTTTTTTCATTTAGTCTTACTCTCTTGTCATGTCACTCAGTGAGTCAGGCAGGGGCAAATGAGGTCCAGCTTGAAATTGTATTATTCCATATTGTGGATGATTTTCCTTGGTTTCAGATTTTTCTTTCATTCTTCTTGCTTTAAAAATAATAATTGAAGCCAGGGGTGATAGCACATGCTTGTAATCCCAGCACTGGAGAGGCTGAGGCAAAAGGATTGCTGAGTTCAAGGCCAGCATGGGCTACATAGTGAGTTCAAAACTAATCTGAATGACAAAAAACGAGACCCTGTCTCCAAAATAAAAGAGTATTAATTAGGAATTGTGAAGAAGGAAGCACTTTCTTTGATCACAGAGGGACACCGCCCCCTCCCCAAAATTTCATTGACATGAGGAATTGAACAGCTTGTGGATGATTTAACAGAATTCATCACTTCTGGGAAGCCGCTAACTAGATGTACCACTGATGTTTAGAAGCATGTCATCTCTTTATAATAATCAAGTATGAATTAAAACATTTAAAAATCATTATGTCTTAGTAAATAAAAGCCAGGAGGACATTTTTCAGTAAAGTGAAACTCAGAAGAACGTTCAGGTCACTGTGCATGACTTGAAGAGGTCTGGGATCTAAGGAAGATGGGTGTCCTTTAATGTCCTGCCTTCAAGAAGGCAGCGCGTGGGGTTATTTAGGAACTAGGGTCATTGGGTCACCAACAGATTCTCAGACAGAAATGGAAAGTCCTGAACAGGGACTTCTTTTTTTTTTTTTTTTGTCTTTTTCCTTTTTATCGGTACCACGGATCAAACTCACGACCGCCTGCTTGCATGGCAGATGCTTATGCCGCTGAGCTAAATCCCCAGCCCTAACAGGGACTTCTTAAGTATAACTTCCAGTATAAGTTATTGTATTTTTTGTAGATAAAAATTTTGACAAAAGATTCATCTGTGTTTACCATTATAGATGGTAACTTTTATTCATTAAGTAAGTTGAATTTTGAGCTTGGTAAATTCAGTCGAAATGTCAGCTTTTCTTTTTCTTTCCTTCAGTGGTCTGGGGAGAATGCAATCATTCCTTCCACAACTGCTGCATGTCCCTGTGGGTGAAGCAGAACAACCGCTGCCCTCTCTGCCAGCAGGACTGGGTGGTCCAGAGAATTGGCAAATGAGTGGTGGAAGCTTTCTCAGTGCAGTTGTTCCCAGCCCTGCTGGACATTGCTGTTGAGTGGCTGACGAAGGCCCAGGCACTGTAGGGCACCGCTTTTTCACGAAGAAGGAGTGGATCTTAGTCCTTGGGGACACATCAAAGGCATGATTCAGCATTTTATCAACTTAATTTCCAGAAATTCTCTACAACTAAGAAGATAATTTATTAAAGATGGTTTTTCCTACCTCTGTGGTGTGTGTCATATACACTGCTTACAAGTGCTGTAAGAAGGAGAAAAGTCCAATCAACTGACCCTTGTAACTAACTGTCACTCTACAAGGGGCCATAGAACAACTACCATTCACAGGAGAACTTTTTGCATGCTTCCGGTGAATCAGATAAAAAGAGACTCTTTAATAACAAATAAAATGTAGTTTAAAACTCACCTCCTATCTTCAGTTTGTCTTCTTTTGTTTTTGGTACCAGGAACCCAACTCATGATCTTGTGCTTGCCAGGCAGACGCCTATGCCAGTGAGCTAAATCCCTGGCCCTCTTCAGTTTGTTCCTAATATTTATTTTTGTTGGGAAGAGGGGAGATTCCTTGATACTTTTTTTTTTTTTTTTTTTTTTTTTGGTGCCAGGGATCGAACTCACAACTTTGCATTTGCCAAGCAGGTGCTTTTACCACTGAGCTGTATCCCCAGCCCTTGATATCTTTATTTGATATGTTGAGAATTTTAATTTTGGACAAGTGAACAGAGTAAATAAAATTTAGCTTTTAGGCATGTGGAATTTTGATTGTTTTTGAACGTATTCTCTTTGTTTCATCAAGAAAATATAAACCTGCATTCATCTCACTGTTAAATCACCGAGTATTAAAAGACAGACATTTTCTAGTACTGAAAAGATTATGCTGTATACTTTAGGCAAAGTGTTAATGAAGGAGGAAATGTTTACATGTAATATCAAATTAAGTTTATCATGCAGGGCTTTAATAAATGGCTTACTGTGTTTCAGTTATAATTGTATGTACAACTTACAGCTTAATAAAGTTTATCAAAAAAAACTTTGATGTAATTTGAAAACAATTTTATATATTTTCATTTGACAGTAAAACAAGTTTATTACCTGGAAATAAAGTGAGAGAAAATAATTATCAAGTTAGAGGAGGTCATTTCCTTACAAATCATGAACCATGAGATCATGGTGAATTCTTTTATAATACAGGCTACTGATGTTTAAAAGGCAGAAACCTTAAATTTTTATTTATTGTTTTGTTTTTGAAACCTTAAAATTTTCACATCTGCAGATACAGAATTTGCCATTCTGAGTCTTTTTTTTTTTTTTTTTTTTTTTTTTGGTATTAGGAATTGAACTCAAGCTTACCAGGCAAGCGCTTAACCAACTGAGCTAAACCCTAGCCCTCTGAATCTTTTTACATCTGAGAGTTGTCGATGCATTCAAAATGTATAAAAATAATTTTGATAAAAATTAGATTCTGCATTTTTTTTTCATGTGGGCTCCAGGTCTGGAAAAATTTTTTTTTCAAAAGTTTCTACTAAAAAAGTTAAAATACACAAATATGTCTAGTTGTTTGAAAGTATTATTACTATGCAATGAACTATTGTAATAGCTTTCTGTTTGACCTTTTTTAAATTTTGCGTTCATCAAGTGAGCCAAATACTTTGCAGTGAAGCGGGAAATAGGCTGCGTGGCGGGTTACTCAGGTCAGTATGACAGGATGTAAATGAAATCTGAAGGATGGTTGCAGTTAAGTTGATTTTCCACAGGGCAAAATCAGCCCCGCTACCTAACAAAGCCCTGTTTATATTCTGCATCAGCATCTGAGGGCCGAACAGGAGGAGGGAGGGACTGGGCAGCGCTGGCCCCATCCTGAGATGATCCCGGCTCATCTGCATAGCCATCTGAAAGTCTGGTACATACTGTTCCCTCCGAGAGAATGTGCTGTGGCGTTCATTTGTGGGTCCTAACATTAAACAATAAGGGTTTTTTTTTCTATTAAATGAATTTGAAAGTTATCTAATTGCATATTTGCAAATTGCAATTTAAAACTCCAAATTACATGCATGTGAAAGGTTCTAACTAGGATGGTGTTCTGTTCTTATGTGGGCATATTACAAGACACCACTCTTACCTGCTTCCACCTACTAAATGGCTAGTACTGCTCATGTTTGTACCGTCTTAGAAAGCCCTCACATTCCCAAAACACCTGCAGGGGCATGCTCAGCTCTGTGGGGTGAGGACAGGGTAGTCAAGCATTCAGACAGATGCTGCAACCATTTTGCTGCTACAGTCTCCCAGAACCATCCCAAAAATGGCACAGGCATGAAATAACTTATGGGGACCAGCCCTGAGCTACATCCCCAGTACTGTTTTGTTTTTATTTTGAGACAGGGTCTAAGATGCCCAGGCTGACTTTGAAATTGCAGTCCTTCTGCCTCAGTCTCCCAAGAAACAGATAACTCGTAGGCATTACCAGATGGAGCATGAAATCACCTCTTTACAAGGTGTTAAAGCATCAGTTACTTTTTGTTTGTTCGTTTTGTCTTTTTCCTTTTTATCGGTACCGGGGATCGAACTCACGATTGCCTGCTTTTGCAAGGCAGGCACTTATGCCGCTGAGCTAAATCCCCAGCCCCTTGTTTTTTTTGGTGCTGGGATTGAACCAGTCCGTCACACATGTTAAGCTTGGGTCCTGTCCCAGGGCCATACCCCTAGCCAGATTGCAGTTTTGAGTAGCTATCCTCAAAGAGTGTAGAGCCGAACCTTGGTGATCTGTGTGTGCCCTAGAGGATGAACAACTCTTTGAGTTAGAGGTAGAATGTATTACCCAAGTGAGGTGGCAGGATTCGCTTGGCAGGGCAGCCCGTTAGGACCTCCTGCCTCAGGCTACTGCTATTCCCCATTCCTTTTCTCCAGGACATTTTTCCTGCTCAACCTCCATTGTTTCTTAGAATTCATTCTTTGACTTCAGGGAATACAAATTGGCATATTTGACATCTATTTAGCATTTTCCCTGTATCAGTATAACTTAAATTTACACAATATTTGCATGTCTGTTGTATCTCAATAAAATTGAGGGCACAGGAAAGGAAATAAGGGAGGATAAAGAAAAAAGTGGATGAAATAAAAAACACTAGGCAAGAACCCACACCAAAAAGAAAAAAATTCACTTGGCAGAGGGTTTAGGCCTAAAGAATAAACTCAAAAAATTCGTTTTAATTGGAGTTAGTCTAGAAGGCTTTACAATCAAGAAAAAAAGTGTTCTATTCAAGTTTAGTGAATATATGACATTGTAAAGTATCCATGATGTGGATGTGAGGAAAACTGGAATTAAACTATAGCATTTTATATTTTAAGCTGCCCTATAAACACTTAAATGACATAGCAAAATACACAAAAGTGGCTGCATGGAAATTCCCCTTATACCCTGTTCGTATTCCATTTCTGCCATAATTAGCTTTTGCTCAACAAAATATGGCTGACAGGAAAGGATTTTCTTTGTGATCTGATGCTCTTAGTAATTGAGAACTGAAACTCAGAGCCCCAGTGTGGATGTGGGTGAGCTGCTTCCCTGCTCCATTCCTCAGCCTCCTCTGTACCGAGTGAACCCTTCCTCCTCTTCAGTGGGCGGGCCCAGGAAGAAGTGAAGGCACTGAGCATTGTAGCTAGCTCGTGGTAATTGCTACTGTTGTTTTTTCCATTTTAGTCACTTCTGGAAGCTCCTTTCAGAACAAAGTGTTTTAGTGAAAGCTCTCCTAACCCTTCTCAATCAAAGATGTATAAGCAAGGACTGCTGGTAATGCCAGCACTCCAAAAGCTGAGGCAGGAGATTGGGAATTCAAGGCAAAATGAATGCTTGCCAATTTATTTTAATTGCTGGTGGCCTTACGTCTCACCTGTTCTGTTTTCTAATCAATGCGATTTACAAATTTTACATTAAGAAAAAATTTTTCTGAATGTTGAGCTCTCATTTTAATTTTTTGTTTTCCATCTTTGTAGAATTATTTCACTGGAATCTTACAGATGCAAATGTAAGGTACAGTTTCCTGACCACTTGATTTGGGGATATCTGTTTAAAAAATTGACCCTTCCCTACAACTCACAGATTTCATTTTGTTTTGTTTCTTTGGTTTTTTGAGGCAGGATCTTGCTATGTTTTTCAACAACTTGAATTTACTGTGTAGCCCAGGCTGGTCTCAAACTCAAGGTGATCCTCCTGCCTCGGCCTCCCAAGTGCTAGGATTACAGGTGTGGAGACGGCTTACCCTTTGTGCCTGTCTCCTCCACTGACTAGGAATTGATGGTGTCATCCACCTCGCACAGCACGAAGATCAGACGAATACAGTGTGTGTGACACTGAGGCCCCGCCCTGGGGTCTTGCAGGTGCTGGGAAGCACTGTACCACGGGGCTACATCCACTGCTAATTTTTTTTTTTCCTTTCTGAGGATTGAACCCAGAGCTTTTGCACTGGGCTACAGCCTCCCTTTTTCTTTATTTTATCTTGGTATTTATGTATTTATTTGTTTAGAAATAGGGTCTCACTGTGCAGTTCAGGCTGGCCTTGAACTCCAAAACGTAAGTAACAGTGAGGCTGAGAAGCTCTGGTTAATGGTGATTCATACATATTTGGATAATATTTTTGTAAAATTAGAATTCCCTGTTAGTAATTTGCTAAACTACTTGGGAGATTGAGGCAGAAAGATTATGAGTTCAAAGCCAACTTGGACAAAAATGGGCCAGGGATGTAATTCACTGGGCATGAGGCCCTGAGTTTAATTCCTAGTACTGCAAAAAAGAGGGACAAAAACTTGCTAAAACATGGTCAGTAACAATAATTAAACTTGTATTAACCATGGCAAATTAGCTATAAGAACTTTACATATATTAATTCATTTAATCCTTACAAAACTCCACTCCCGTTATCATTAATCTATAGCTAAGGAAATGTGGATAGTGTGGTAAGGTAATCTGCTCACGTACACTAAACCATGCTCGGTGAGGGTCTAACCCCAGTCTGGTTGTATTTGGAAATAGTTGGTGACCTTCAAAGAAAGAAGGGTCTGGAATGTAGTTTGGTGGTAGAACAGTCGCCTAGCAGCCTAGCATTTGTGAGGCCCTGGGTTTGATCCCCAGCATGAAAGAGAGACAGAGACAGAGAGAGAGGCTGTCTCTTCATGCCCCTACCCAAGAAAGCCGCACAGGACACAGTGAGAAGGGACCCATTTACAACCCAAGGACCCAGTCTTCAAGAGACTGACCCTTAGCACTTTGATCTTAGACTTACCACCACCCTACACTGCCTTGGTAGAACACCTTCTCTGAACTTATTTCCTCCAAATTATTTTCCTGAAGTTTGTTCACATATTTCAATTTTTAGTTCTGTTAAGCTACAGATAAACTTCATTTATATATGTGTGTT